ATATATGTAATACATAGATGTTTACATGTATATATATGTGATTTGTTATATATCCACATGTAGTATTGTATATACAAATCGAAATACTGAATACAAGCCAAGGATATATATACATCTATATTAGTATATCATGTCATGTATTTATACAAATATGTTCATGTACAGGAGTTTATATATATATATTTGTATATACGCATGTGCACATCAAGATCACAGGAATCATAACTCACAATCGGTTGTCGCAGGCGACGCTGATGGACGAGGACATCATAGTCGTAGCTATGTGCTCGAAAGACATGTCCATATCATCTAAACGCTGCAAAACTGCGGTGCTGCGTTGGTCATTGGAGCTCAGGAAGTGGCGCAGTAGAACCAAGCAGATCTGTACGTAAGCGCAGCGATCAATTAATGTCCGGATGAGTAGTTGTATATTTAGATGGATGAGGAGTTGAGATACATAGCTCGTGTTCATCATTATTACTTACGAATTTTGGAGTTTTTTTTGAGAATTATTGTATGGGCAATTGAAAGTCACAGCTGTACATGAGTTGTGGCGTGAGAGGGCTATTAAACCTTGATGTACATGTACAGACAAAGGCGTTGCAATACTCTAGTCAAGAGTGCACTGTCTCTTGTCCTATGATTCACATGCTACAATAAATGCCGATCTGAGTCAAGAGTGCGCCAACAATCTGTGTATCTGCTTCACGCTCGTTTTGGAAATACATAGTATGTCATCTACTTATCGGCTTATCCACTGGTATTAATTGGTCATCGCATCAAGCTTTAACATTCAGACACGCCTGTATCCGTATACTTTGGATGCAGCCTCAAGCACGAACAAACCCATAGCACAATAGAATATTAGTATTACATGTAAGCCGCTCTAAGAGGTTATTCACGGGAGACTCCACACATGTGGATGTGGCGCCATTGCTGTGATGGATCATATGCGCCGAGTGTCGTTATAGTGTCACATACCTCCTGGTCGTCTTTATTTGACAGTGAACTATAGGCGTCCGACTCATAGTGGGTCCATGCCTCAGAAAAGAGTCCCTGAAGCAGAGGATGATATAACCGTACAAGAATATGAATTTTCATTCCTGAGGTAAACTTCCTTTGTGAATACATATCAATACCGATCACATCTTTATGAGCGTTAACTTCAAATGTTGCGATATGTTGGAGGTATGCAAACAAGTGAGCATAGATAAGTATAACACAGGTAAAATGTAAGTAGCCAACAAAACAGTTCGGAAAAAAAAGTTTTTTTCGCACAAAACTATAACATGCACGTACGGGTTGATTGATTTCCAGTCTTGCATTAATTGCATGATGAGTGTATTTGGTACAAGAGTGTAATCTACTGCCCAAAAACAGTCTCGTCAGCGATAATGCATGACCAGAATACTGGGGCGATTTCGGAAAGAGAACGTACTAGAGCGCATGCGCTATAGCATTGTCATCAGAATACGAACGGCCCTTAATGCTAAGGTGTCATCCAGGTATTCGCTGACATGTCGTCCGACTTGAATACATAAATGAAGCATTCTGCGTCAGGAGATTCTTCCTTCTTCCAGATACTCGATGCAAATACGATACAAAGGCGCAGCCCACAAGTGCAGAGCTGTCGTGATCAAGTTAACTGGATCTTTCACTACAGCAGATGATGCGATACGAGTATACCGCATATCTTCAGCGCTAACAAAGTCCAACATGAGAACAATACTAGATTTCTGACTCTAATAAAGCGTGGCCCCTGTCAACCAATACCAAACTTGTATTTCACAATCTCTCGAATACACATGAAGTCAAACTCACTCACCTGCTCGATTAACAGGCGCAAGTACATCTTGTGGCCAATCTCGTTTAGTTTTACGTCTGTGTGTCGTAATCGCTCCAGAACTCTTCGGGCCATAGGTATATTCTGTGGTAATAGGCAATAGACATTGTATACGTAAGAGAAAACTGTGCTTGGGTATCAAGCATAATCCACTGCATTTGTAGGATACAACTTGATGCGGTAGTAGGCATGGAGCTTTGAGTTGATACAATGAAACTGGTTTGTACGTATAAGACTATGTTGTGGTAAAATTGAGCAAGCGGACCTATCCATGTGTGGAAAACACTTTCATATTTTTGAAGACTAGATTGACGCTTGTTCGGCATGAATAGAATTATTTGGTGAACAAAATTATACTCTTAAGGAAAAGCATTAAAATTTCACGTGTTTACACGTATTAGGCGTTTGAAGCAATAATACATACTGTGCTGATGTAAAATTTCAGTATTATAAGGACGCATTGAAAAATGTTCAGTATGGTAAATATGTGTAGAAATACCTACCTTTGTGTGTAAGCACATAGCTAGCAGTCGAGTGTACGGTACCAACTTGTCGTGTGTGATAAAGAGTTGAAAGCAACTCTTAAGTACAGTCTCATTGAAGTATTTGTCGTTGTCGGACCGCACCATCTGCCGCAATATTGTGACAACAGGAGAGTAAGTATACCGCTCTAGCGTGTGAGTAAACGAGCATCTAAAATGCATGCGTTTCCATAGCAACGTTTGGTGAAATAAGAACGAGAAAGTATAAAGGTCCAAAGCAATTTGTGAGAGAAATGAAACAAGTGTATATTTAGGCCTGTGTAGCTATGTTTGCCACGAAAGATGCATCAAATATATAGACATCCCTTTTAAAAGGATGCGTATGACATCAAACTCCGCTAAAAGTCAATAAACACGCCACAATGCACTCGAGTTGTAGAGAGACAATCGACAGAAAAAAAGAAAGGCACAAAAGAAGGATTGGCGCTTCTCAACGGAACATAGATTCTATTGATACCACAAAGCCTCATACCGTAAGCCAGGTATCCATGACTCGCGTGTATGAAACTTTGTATAAGTAGATTTTCTTCTCATCAGCGAACTTGAAGAGTTCCATGGTGGTTGGTATGTCTTTATTCCTGTGGTAAGCGTTTCATCGGAAGGTTATGTATGAAAGTGGAAGTATCGATTCTGATCAGATTTTCTCTCCACGTTCCTGTAACTTGTATTACATTTGCAAGTAATACTTATTAAAATATATGCCTCATAAACATGACAGAATACGATTCTAATAGAATACCCACATGCATGTATGTACACATGCGTACAAAATGAGGATTCAAGCCTGTACATGAATATTCCTAGTAAAGATCCATACACAATGATGGAATTCCCTTAAGTCAAATATGCATGTGTTTGTTAAATCACTTGCCAAATGCAATTGAACACGCCGAATGTCGTTTATATAACCAGCGTGTCTCCTTTTAGACAAATAGACTGAGAAAAAAAGACAAAATATGGACTCATGCGCAAACGGTTGACAATATTACAAAAACATATCACTCGCACGCTTTATCGATTGGCAAATATATGTACACATTCGCAGTTATTCCAGTTAAGTCAAACTCAAAAGAACAAAGCAACGCGCACCACTTACCTCGCGTAGTGAAGCACGAAATGGTGAAAGACTTTGGGTTCTGGCTCGACCCCAACTTGGGCCATCGCGGTCAGGACATTGACTGGGTTGGGCATAGGACCCGTAAAGACAATCTGTAGATACAGGTAGGTTATTTAGTAAGAAAATTTCAGCTCAAACGCAATACATCTACCTTAAGCGATAGTTATATGACTTCCTGGATAAATGTCTTCAGATGAGGATCGGTGGACGATGATACAAAAGCCTAGAGCTAGAAGAAGTGCGTTGTCTATTATTCATGCAGAAGTAGACACATATTAATATATATATATATATATATATATATAATACCGTATAAATAGGCAACTGAATTCATAAAATGACATATATATGATATGCTTAGTTAAGCGTACATACTAACTACTGCAAGTAGAATATACAATATGGCATTTTCAGATACAACTGATGCAAGCTATTACAAAAGCGCAATGCTTCGCGATATTTCGCAATTGTGGATCAAGCAAACTCCCGTGATTTGGCCCACATGACGATATCCTTGTTTGGCATGTACCCACTTTCAATACGAATTTGAGACTTGTTCTTGCTTGCACACCCACAAACCACACCTACCGAAACAAGGACTCATGTACATAAACGCATTAATATAAAGATACACGAAATAGTATTCCAGTTCTCCTCGTCCAGGTTTAGAACCTACCTGACGAAACGCTTCTAATTTTTCATTGGTGGTGTGATGGTCTAAGAGAGCTGAGAGCGCATCTAAATTTTGTGTGAAGACACACCGGCGCAATCTATGAATACGCCCCATATCTTCAGTATACGCCCCAAGTTTTACTAAGAATTGGATAAAGCCGATATCCACCCGACCTAACTCAACATCGGCATATAAATCGGGGTTCTTGGACAGCAGAAGATTCTGTATGAATAATGTGTTTTCAACTTAGAAAAGAGAGATATCAAATTGTACAACTGATTTTGGAGCAAAGGGACAGGGACGACTGAAGTTTAGATCTTCGAGTACTCGGATGAAGTTGAACTGCAGTAATAAACAAATGTACCTACCTGCACACGTCCGTAATCTTCGCGCTCACTATCGGCCACATTCCTGATGACTGTCCACAGTCTTGCAGCCACTTCATACAGTTCCTCATCGAGTGCTAGTGCTATTACGTCCATGTATTCTTTTTGATACCCCCACGATTCTCTACCTACAACGCTACTAAGTAAGCCAGCCATCCGGTCGGAGGACACGGCAGCGCTCGCTAAGGTCTGTTTCTTTTTATTGAAGGTCTTCATCTGGGTATACAATAGCCATTTGGTATCCACATTTTTGTTTCGTACCAACTGCGCGAGTAGTTTATCTGCGAATGTAAATGATAGCAAAGTCAAAGAACAATATGATTTCATATTATTGCTAGTCTGGATTTGCAAATACTACAACCATTCGTATACAAGCAATACTGCCTAAATAGCACGATTCCCATATGTGTAATAAAGATATCACAAGGGATACAGGAAGATATAGACACCACGTATAACTCATAAGTCATCATAGACGTATAAATAAAAATCCCCACCTGCTACTGCGATATTTCCAGCTTGCAGATTGGCCAGGGCCATTTGCCCTGCAAGCGGCGTCGGGACACCATGGAACCGCACCTACTCATTGTGGATTGTGGATATCGATGAGAATGAAGGGAAAACAGGCACCAGTGGTATACTATATAGTAAAAACACCTAAGTAAATTAACAAAGGTCTGTCAAAATAGGAATAGGGATCGCACCCGCTTTGTGCTTACAGTTGTTATACAGCGGTTCAGAAGTATGCGGATAAGGAAGAGGCAGCAAAAAACTGGCAACGTATCATTCTGAGAGCGGCCAAACGCTACAAAGGACACATGCAAGGTGTGTAAATTCAATTATCCTTATAAAATATTTGATATTGGAATCAAAAGAATTCTCCTCGCTGTTTGTATAGAATTGTATTTAAAAGCGTGAATCATGCAACCAACAACTCTTACGATACAAACACAAAAGCTAGCCTGTTTGCCTACGATTGCATGTTTTCCAACAACTAAGACAGAACATCAACCTACTCTTATCCTCACCGGCTGAGTCCAGAACAAAAGCCAGCTATGGCCTAAAATATTTGAATACAGTACACCATCGAATACTTATACGCATTGGAGTTAAGTCCATAGAGCGCATTTACGATACCCAAGGGAAAGACTTCCCGTGTGTCTGATATATAGGGTGAGTAATATCTTCCATGCCTTCTTACACTAAAATAAGAAAGCCGTACACGCACCTGCATGTAACTCACGGACACCACATACACTACCAGAGGTACATACACAAATCGTATGCCTTTATATGGGATACCTAAACACTTTTTTAAGCCTCAAGTTTCATACGTACCTGCGTGTATCCCATGGAGCCAACATAAGTCACGAGGGGTCTAGCAGCGTCAACAAAGCCGTGTTGCACGGCTGCTCCCAGTACCGTCATGTACACGGGTGTGTCGAAAGTGAAATGGTACTCCGATAGCATGTTATGGCAGAAGCGAGCTAGTGGCTGAACAGTGTTGTACGAAGACAAAGAACAACATTTTTGTGACTTTTCAAGTATTTCAATATATGCCAATTTCAATATGAGATATACGTCGAGTACTCTATTTAGAGTATAAATGCACACGTCGAAAACGTGTGATGTTCCGACAGCAGCTTCTGGCAAGACAGCACCGCTGTTTATGCAGTGTGTGTTGAGAGAAAGATAAAGCAGTCTTTGTAAGCTAACCTAGAGATAGAACCTATTAACATATATATCAACGACATGTCTAAGCCGGAATGATACTCGGATAACAGACGCGCAAACACTCGTTTGCATAAAATCACCCACACCTACGAAAGAACACACCGTGGCATGCGCAGTTATGCTCAAGTGATGTGAATTGGACATACAATATATATGAACAACACACAGCACATTATCATACGGATATACATGAACGTATATAGTCCAACTTTGTTCTAGATGCCAAAAACATGTGCAGTTGCCTACAATACATACAATTTGTTCGTGACCACACTTTACATCGACATTCACACACATGCGTAAATGAAAGCTGAGACACAGACACAGACACACACCCACACCCACCCACACCCACACTTACATACAAACACACACATACACACGTGTACACACATACACACGTGTACACACATACACACGTGTACACACATACACACACACAGGTGTACACACACACACA